CCCCCCCCCCCCCCACACACAGACGCTCCGGTTTCGAATACACACATACATGCATATTCAAAAACACATGTATTCTGTCTGTGTCACACACATACGCACCCACCTGCATGCGCTCATGCACACACACACGCACGCACGCACACAGAATTTCACAGGTGAAACGGGATGCACGCAGAGACTGAAGTTGAATCTGAAATTATCAGATTTGACTGAATTACAAATGATACATATTCTAGGGCTGCCACTAAATAATGACTATTTTTCCATGGATTAATCTATTGACTGTTTTATGGATTGGTCAATTAATCTAAACAATAATTTTTTCTCCAGAAAATGAAATAGACCGTTTAATTTCAGTTAATTTTATTTTGACAAAAACAAACTATGTCATTGCAGATTGTATGTTTAGATAATGGACGCCAGCTTTTCGGCACTATACGGACATTATTTTCACCCACAATTCGATAAGAATAAATAATAATATGCCTAAAATAATAGTATGCCTAAAATATTAATGAGATGCATATTGTGACAGCCAAAAGTTAGTAACTGGTATAAATTCAGCGTATCCTTATGCTTATTAAATTCGGTTAGTTGAGCACATCACAAGCGACTGTTTTGTTAAATCTGGCTGATCAGTCTTCACTCTCTCAGTAGTGATCCAGCAGCACTTACTGGGATGTCCAAAATCTTTTTTTGTACCCTCTTCTAAATTTATGTAATTACTTAGATCACTTGATGCTCTTTAGTCTTAATTTTTACTTCATTTTCCTTCAGACTGACGCCTGACGGTCTTTCCAATGATAATGAAACTGACAGCGGGGAAGTGGGGATTATTACACAGGGAGTCCAACTGTAAGACAACCATATTCTCAGCAAGGCAGTGTTTTCCACCTTTGTGTTTTCTTCTATCATCTATAGTTTCCAATGCACAGGTGTTTGGATATTTATGCAAACAGCATTTTCCAGATTTTGATTAAGAAAATGCCGAGAAATTCATTTTCACTTCATTAATTAATTGTGAGAATCTATCTGTTTACAAGAAAAAATGAATATGTGTATGTATCATTTGTAAATCAGACAAGTCTATTTAAGGGAGGGAGGTTCCATACTTTTGCAAGCCACTGCACATGTGTTGAATACCAGGGAAAGAACATGGTCTCTCTCTCTCTGAATGTGTGTGTGTATGTATATATATATACACTTTTGGCAGTCCATCGCGAACGAAGATGACAGGTCCTCAAACTATTGGGGGTTTGAATAGGGACTAAGGGAGGAATGGGGTGGTGAAAGGGATACTATAGTTTCTGTCTGTTGTGCCACTGTGTGTGGCTGTAAAGCCCGATCCTAGATCTGCATATCTTGCCGCAGGTTGGACATGTAAGAGCTGGATCAGGA